ATTGCAGCAAGACGGCAGCGCTGCCGTCACCGCAGCTTTCTAGCGCCTGTGTGACACCCTCATGACTAAAGGCAGGCTCTGGAGAAAAGACTGGATTCTATTTTCAAACATTCTTCTCTGTCCAGAATCAGCTTTTACGAAGGGCTCCCACCCAGCCAAGGCTACTCGCCCCGATGAAGCGGAACGCCGTGCCCACAGCTGTCAACCCAGACAAAGCCTCTTGCAGAAGCAGCCCCAAAGGACTGCGAAAAACAACTGTCACTGCATTTGTATCTTTTAATCTTCATCTGACAGCCCCCGATTTCAGCAGATCAGCTTTAGCGTGTCACATACTAACCACCACGCAGCTCGACGGCAATAGCCAAAGGCTTCCACATTAAGCAGGTTTGCTAATACTGTTCAGACTAAACAGCAGCCATTGCCAATTACTGTTTAATTAAATTCAAATCAAACCATAAAAATTCCTGTTTAGGCAAGACATACTATACCTCATTAAAACACCCCGAATAGCTTCTAAGCAACAGGACTGCAATTCTAATGGATTTTCAACTTGTCTGCTGAGCGTAAGATCCTGCGGGGCTCGGGCTGTTTGTCTGCAATACCACGCTCCGCGATTATTAAGACAAAATAAACTATCCATACCCCCGACCTCAGAGGCCAGAAGGGACGTGTATTTCTTACACAGGAGAACGAAACAGAACAAAATTGTTATGGACACCCAAAACTCAAACATCAAGTTTTAAAATACCTGTCAACTTTGACAATGTTCCTTAACTACTGATGTAGTTTATTTTCATAGCTGACAATACCAAGATAGCCTCTTGATACAACACTGAGATGTGTCTTGTAAACAAATACGCATTAAAAATGGAAGAGGTTAAATTGTAGAGTAAAACACGAGTACATACAAAAAAAAAGCTACAAAACCGTAGCAAAAGGTTACTAAAAGATACAGGAATAAACCATGACCAGCCAACGGACCGTCAGAACGGCAGGTTCTGCCCTCGGCACCAGAAAAATGCCACAGAAGCGGATCAGAGCTCTGCGCCGGTGCTCACCTGAGAAACTGCACCAAGGCGCCAGGCCAGCGCTCTCACCCGATCCCCCCCTGCAGAAGCGCTCGCACGAAAGTTGAAGTCACGAGGGAATCTGACATTAACGCATCCCGCTGCATTTCCAAAGCTGTGTGAAGGAAGGTATGCACGTAAGCAGCCTTCACTGCGGATAAAATGAACGCTATCAAAAACAAGCAGAATCTATTTGCTAGATATCTGAGGTGTGAAAACATATCAGAGGGAGAAATTATCCCAAACCAACCACTGAACAGCCAAAGCCTTTCCTATTACAACGCACGCACCATTACACCAAAGTATAAGGATACCAAAGTCTCAGGATGCTCTAAGTCAAAACAATGAGTTCTCAAATTCAAGGAATTTTATCACTTCCTGACCTATTGCAAAATGCAACTTGAATGTGCCAAAGACAGTGCATAGGGATTACATTCAGCCATCTCCGCTGAAAACCGATTTCTGAAACAAGCTTAAGCTGCTGTGAAGAAAAAAAACAAACCAAAACAACTTTCCTCCATCACCCTCGTCACGAGGCTCACATTCTCTGAAAACAGGTAAGACAGAACAAGTACGGTTCTATAACCGTAGGGCATTATCAACACATTTCTGCCTTCCACGGATTGTTTCTGCTAGCAGCCCGTGTCGCTAGTGGCATCCTGACAGTTCAGGAGCTCAAAAAAAAAGCCAGACATAGCACACGCAGCAGCAGCAGTGCAAGCTTCCTAACTGCAGGACTATTATACAGCAGCAGCGACATGTAAAAGAGATTTCCAGAAGCAAGGCAGATGCTCGGCTGCCATGCTTATCCAGTCTAATTCTACCACCGTCTACGGACTGACCGATGCAAATGTTACCAAGCGTTCAACAACACCATGGCTACTTCAGCAACACGAACTGTAACGGCACAAAATGTTTCTGTAATGCTGCGTTATTATTTTTTTAAACCAACACGGTACTATACCCATGGGACAGGCTGCTACCGCGATAATTAAAAGAGAGCCTATCTTAACCCTACACTAAATTAAAAACAAGTTGCAACAAGCTGCAAACTGCTCCTGAAGCGAGCCAGTACAGCACCAGCAGCTCACGCAACCAAGCTCCAAGAAGTCACAGCGACACTGTGCGCCGTCAGGAATGTGATCCAAAAAAGCCGGCGGTCGTCAGTAACTGTGTTTAACGAGGCAGCCTATGTACAAGACAGCGTTACCTTCAGCGACCTGGAAGGTGTCACGGAGAACAGGCGAGCAAGCCGCTCCTCTCCCACCTCCCCTCCCCTCTCAGCCCGCTTCCCCCGCTGCCGCCTGAGATTATAATCCTATCTGGGATTTTTATTTTCCTAGGCAGCAAAAGCAATCATCTCCTCGGTGTTATCTGTCAGGAAGCTGGACATTACCAACACATACGGGCTGCATTTCCCTATTAACTTGCTCTGAGGGAGGTATTCCCAAAGGCGAACGTGTACCTCATCAGCCAGCCGTGGCAGTGCAATCTGAGGAAGCTGCTTGGAGAGGAGCACGAAACCAGGCCAAGCACAGCTGCCAAGCTCCGTTAGCACTTGGTTCTCTTGCATACCTATGCTGAAAGTGATAAAGTTTACAAACAATTAAGTGCATGTGTGCACATACACAACTTTCAAACAAACAAACTTGGCTTTTCTCCATAGGGGACAAGGAAAGGGAAGCAATTAAATTGCAAGTCTTTAGTGCTCATTAATTATTTTTAAACTCTAATCCCAGTCTGCAATGTTGCTCTCAAGTCCACACACTGGGTGGGCATAAAATCGGCCAACCTAAAACCACCATTAAAAGTGCTGCTATTTCTATAGAGCTATATATATATTTTCTCGAGCAGACTTGTAAGCCATCATGCAAACCATAAAATTCCAGATGCCTGCTCTTAATTATGATCTGCAGCTTGCTTTCTGCATTTAAAAAAAAAAAAAAGTCAATATTGCACATTGTCATGTTAAGAGCCGCTGGCACGGGAACTTTATCTTGCATCTGCCGATGTCTAAAACGCAAAGCAGTGTTACGCCTCTGACCCAACCAACAGGAAGACCGTTCACTACACGAGCTCGCTCCCTGCTGTCTCCACCTAAAGAAGGAATTCCCTTTTCTCCCACCTGGCAGGGGACCTTCTGGCTGAACAATGCCCAAAAAGCAACTCCACTACACCCACCTTTCTGGGGTGTTGTGCCAGGAACGTAACTAAGTGGCTTACATAGTTCAATGCTAGAATATAGAAAGACAACGTCACTGCAGTAAATTCAGTCTTGGGTGTTGTCATACGCTTTAAAGTGAATTCAGAGTCTGCAAATGTGGCAAAAGGAAAACTCTGGAAAGCTCCAGTTCACCCCTTAAGCGTAAGACAGGTGCAATATGTACAGCAAACACTGTCAGCTCCTCTTGCTGTAAGGTACAATCTTCCTCTGCTCGTTAAAACTCCAAAGACAGCCAGTGAGGATGCCAAAGGAAAGAGATAGTGCCCGTCTGTTGTCTAGTGGAGACGATTACCTACGGCCCCAACCCAACGTACGCAGTCGCAAACAGAAGTTGCTGCCTGACACCAGATGCCCGAAGGGGAAGGACGCAGCGCCCAGCACAACAGACCAAGACATCCAGCCTCCGAGGGGCCATGAGAGGGAAGTCTCTCTCTAATGCCTCAGTTCCCTTAAAAGGCCCCCCCCCGAGGTGTAAAAGTCTAACTACAAATTTCATTTTATCTCCAAATGGCTCTGAAAACGAATCTTGTATTAATCCACACACACACACGGCCACCAAAAGGAACGCAAGTGCAAATGCACAACAAGGTGGACACGCCGTGGTACCCCTCTCGGCGAGCTGCACACACTGAGCCCAACTTATTTTGGGTCTGAGTGCTTCCTCAAATAAAAAAAAAAAAAAAAAAGCAATAGCTCTAATGTAAAACTTGGGATAAGAGCTGGTCGAAGAGGAGCTTCTCCACTTCAACTGTGGGAAAAGAGCTGTGACGTTAACGCTCAGATGTTGGTGTTCTCGCCCACCGCTCGGGTCTGAAACTCTAGCATCAGGCAGCAACCTCACCCACCACAGACACACCCTCAGAACCGCATGTAAAAATCCACCGTCCTGCTCATCTCCCAGCAGTGAGATTACAGGCTTCGTAACAGGTCTCTGGCACAAGAAATGTTTGGACTTCAGCATTCAAACTTTCTGAGAACTGCAAGGAACTCATCCCACCATTCGTCTGTCTCCAGACCTTGCCTCCTCACCGAAAGGCGGGCGCGGAAGCGAACAGAAGCCAGCCAGACCGCTTCGCCAAGGGGCCGGACGGTTGGTAGACAATGCCATTCAAAAATTGTCCGTATCTCAGTAACACAATCATTGAATAGTCCTTGAAAATTTCTCCCTGCAAAAAGACAAGATGTTTTTACAGCAGAAAAGACGCGGGCTGTTCGGTTGCTGCAGAAGTTATCAAGCCCCAAGGCAAAGCTGAGTGCACACACCCCTTTCCCAAGCATTTCCTGGAATGCCAGCTTCGATTACGATTAGGTTTCTTCTTGCCAAGCACGGGAAGCAGAAGAACAGAGGGTTTTCCCAAGAGTCACAGAGAAAAGACTTCTCTGATACCGTTTACTGCAACCAGTGCAGACTCAGTTACTGCAACACCAACCGCAACTCCCTTTAAGCATAGTGAAGTCTTCCAGACCGAGGAGGGATGAGAAGAGACTGGAGCTTCAGCTCCTATTAAGGCGTTTGCATATACATTCCCAACCTGGGTCTTCAAAAAAGGGAATTTTGCAAAAAAGGCATTTTATCTGGGAATGGCAGAAACTATGATTGTTGATAATCTCTGTGGAATTACAAATTGCTCATTTAAAAAACAGGGTTAAATATAAGTGTCCTATCTTTCCCTTGCTTGCCAATACGTCCTTTTCCATGAGTTCATGTGCTATGTCTTCTGTAGATCAGGGGAAAATGGGCCAGGGGTAGAGGGTCCGTCCAGTCCAGACAGAGTAAACGGGCCGTGACTGTTCAGCACTGATGGAAACTAAGAGACAAAACAAGAATGATTAGGGAAGAGGCCATTTAATTTACTGTTCCTCCTATCTGTGCATGCAGAAGCTCCCCCAGGCATAAAACCCAAAACCCAACAAAGAAAACCACCCCAAACTTCCAAAGAATCTTCTTGGCTTCCCTCAAGTAATTTACTTTTTAAATGCCACTGCATCACAGACTGCAGCAATCCAGCCATTATAACCAGTGCCACCAGAAGGACCCAGTCCGTAACCTCTGCACTGAGCACTGCCTGTTGTCCTAACAAATAAGTGGCTCTAACACAAGCTGTTGGGAAACCACGGTCTAAATTGTTCCTCAGTTAATTATCAGCTATTTATAGAGAAAAACGTCCAGTGCATTTTCAGACCTACTTGTTTGTTCCCTATCCTCACGGTACATATAAGCTACTTCCTTCATCTCCATGGAGATGACAGATATAAACCCGAAAGACAACTAGTTAAATTTTACCCTTTGCCTAAGCAGACTCAGGCAACAGATGCGGCTATTCCAATCCCAAAGCAGAAGGTGAAGGAAGAGCATGAGTAATTACAACTAAAGGACTTTTTTTTTTTAAAAAAAAACATAGGGGAGCTTTTTCGCCTGTATGTTAGTTAAAAAAAAAATAATTAAACAGTGAAGCTGAGAATTTCCAAGCAGCAGAACAGACATCATAAGGAATTCTGCTACATATTGCCACAGAGACCAGACACCCAATCTTCCTTCTTACTAGTGGTGAGATTCAATTAGTGTCTTTCAACAGAAGAGACTGTTAACAAATGACTAAAACAACCAATACAGTAGCGAAAATCAATTTCCAAGAAAATCTCAACCAGTAAAGTTACAGGGAGGCAAATTTTACAGGAAGGACCAAATAAAAATAAGTATCTACCTACAGCACAGACTGCTACCAATTTAAAACACTTCTGAAATACCAACTTTTACAATCTACTTGAACAAAACTGGGCAAACACTACAATTAAATGCTCTCAAAAGCTAACGCAGGGGATAGAAAACAGATCATTATTTTCTTTCTGCATCAGCTACTTGGGCTAACTGGTTCCTGCAGGTCTACTGAGGAAAGTACTGAAAAGCACGGAGAGGTTGGCTAAACTTGCTGGAACTTACCTGAAAGAGCGTATTAGCACCTTGCAACCTTGCGGGACTGAGAGGAGCGACTGGGCTTAGCGTACTCCAGAAGTGGATACTGGAGAGCAAGGGGCTCGGGGTCAGCAAGATGGGAGTCTGCAAAACACACGAAGACACTCAGCGGTGTGAAACCTGCGCTGCAACGCGCAGCACATGGGAATCCAGCCGCAGTAACCTCAGCTCTACAGCTGCGGAGGGCTGGGTCCAAACTTCAGGAACTCCCATTCCCTCCTCCTGCCTCCTCCCACCTCCTTCTCCTCCCTTCAAACCCCACCACAGCAGCAGGAGTCATCCGGCTCTCCCTCCCCTTCCTGAGCAACCGGCCTTCTTTTCCCAGCAGCTGCCAAATCCTGCCGGGGCGAATCGGCTCCTCCTGCAACTCAGCAAACAGCACCTGCAAGTGGCTTTGGGAAACTCAGCCTAGGGATGTAGAAAGAGCCGACAGCGGGCACACACACGGCCTGGGTGACACCGACAGCGTAAGCCACAACAAAAGACATTTACATCCAGCTTCTGCACACGCTGGACGTGCCAGGATCACCGGCCAAAAGGGCAACTCCGCTTGATTTTCTTTCCTGTCCTCAGCCATTCCAGTTTCAACCAGCAGCAGTTTTCCTACAGTTTCACCCTAATTCCAATTTATTAGAGCAAAGAGATTTAATACACTGAACCATTTAACAGCCTAGTTGGATTCAGTTCTCTTCCAAATTTTCCATGAGGCATAAAAGCTTTCCTTTCCCACACAAAGACGATAACCACATTAAGCAGCTGTTCTTATCGCTGTGAAGTCACAATACTCCGGTCTTAAGTAAATGCCTACTGCATCAAGTAAAAGAGAGCTGCTACACAGACACCTCCGTGGTTCTCTATTTTTAGAGTCTTTTCAGAATCAGCCTGAAGGGTAAGGGCAGGGTTTAGGGCTTTCGAAATAATTCAGGATCACCCTGGCAAGAGTTACAAGGGATCCTGCTGGTGCTGGTTTGGGTTTTGCCTCCACACGTAGGGACGTGTACAGCTGGCACACCACTTGGGCACACTTGGGGGTGGAAGCTAATACCGATTATGAGTAAAACTGATGTTGTATAAAAAAGAAATGGGAGAGACATCTTGAGTTCCAGAACTCCAAATACAATCTACTGACTATTCATTTTCCTTCCCTTTACTGTTTTAAAATATAACAAAACCACTATTGTTACTTAAAAACAAAACAAAACCAAACCCAACAGGAAGGGAATTAGGTTACCTGAGAGAAAAGTGCTGGAGTAAGAGAAGCAGTTGGGAGAGAAGGACTCAGAATCCCCAGTGGACTTGGATCGCTGCCTGTAATGACGAGAGTAGGAGCCAACTCCAGCCCTTTGGGTTTTTTAGATCTGGAGAGGTGATTGGCAAACTCCTTCTCCAGCACAGATGAATCCTGCTCTTTGGGCTCCGGGGATTGATGCTGAAGGCTCTGAGCCTGCTCCAGCTGCTGGGAAGTCACGGACTCTATGTCCGTGTCAATGTCCAGGTCAGGATTAGAGCTGAGGGGCGGCGACGGGGGTGTGGAAGGAACTTGCAGAGTGGGAGAAACCGAGGATATGGGTGGAGTTGGGGTGAAGCTGGTGGTTAAGTTTGGCAAAGGTGCTGGAGCTTCAGGGACAGTTAACTTGGGTAGAACGAGCGTCTCCAAGGTCTGGAGAGTTTCTTCTGATCCCATGGGAAGGGAGGATGTGGTTGAAGTGGCAGAAGCAGTGGAAGTGGCAGAGACCGCTGAAGGGGTAGAGACCAGGGGGACAGATGAAGGCTTTTTGGAGGGCATGGTGACAAACTTGATGACAGAGGGTGTTGGATCCTGAGCGGGTTTCTTCTCTGTCAGCTTCTCAGCTGGATTCTCAATCTTGATGGACCTGAAGAGTTTTACGCTGGAAGAGTTGAGGGAGTTCAGGGTAAAAGAGGAGTACAAGCCTGAGTGGATATAGTCATTGCGGCTGGAGGATTTCGCACACGATGGAGACTTCTCCTTCCCACAGTTTTCCACGTCCTTCACAGCACTAACTTCTGCAAAACCAGTCATTTCAGGGTCTCCTTCTATACGGCCCACGACAAGTGGATCCATATTTAAAATCTCCGGATAAGAAACAAACTTGTACACAAACTTCTTACCATTCACCTTTTTAATGATATTCTGTGGGGAAGAAGATACATGTATTTAGACCTTCTTCAGATTAATCTTCTTCCTACAAACACTGCCTAAAATAGACTGAGGAATCAGATACTTAATCTTTCCTCAAAAATTGTTTTTCCTTTTTAAAAAACACACTGCACTCTTTATGTTCAGTTATGCTCCCAAAGCATCACTTCCAGAGCTTGCAGACCTAACACCAAGAACAGGGGGGCTTAATCTGACCTTAACTATACTAACAACAGTCTTAAAAATGCCCAGCAATTATTTAACATATTTTAAAAGATCAACTAAGAAACAACAAAAAAAAATACACATTACCCCCATCAAAGATCACTGACCCGGGTACGGTAAGTGTAATCTAACAGAAAAACCTGCAACAGAAAGCTTACAGGTTTGCAGAATTGAGAGCTAACACTTCAAATCAAACCACCTTTATTCCTAATCAGATAATAATAAAAGAAAATAAGTAGCTGAACTAGTCAGCAGAACGTAGGCTAATCAGCTATTTCAATACCACAAAATAGCATGTGTCAAACTTGTTTTGCTCCTAAGTGAAATGCCACACACGACTTGGACCCAAGAAGACTCTTCTTTATCGTACTATTGTTATTATTACCCAGACCTCTCAGTACCAAGTCAGATTTGTCCTACCCAATAACAAACTCCACGCAACATACCACCTGCTACAAACTGACAGGTTCCTCAAACTGGGTTGTATTTTTTATCTCCTACACCCACACAGTAACAGTTGTGGGATAAACAGCTTATTGAAACGAAGGTGAGACTCCCACACCGTGGTCCTAGTTCAGCTTTTTGACTACACCCATGCACTAATGGAAGGCTCTCGCAAGCTACTAGAAGACAGCAGCTAAGAGAAGCACCTCACTCTGCTGGACTCCACTCGCTGACCGCACTAGAGCTGCAATTCTGAATACATGGAGAAAAAGGAAAATACTTTAGGCTGCTTCACTAAAAATCCTTATTTTGGTAGCCCCTTCGCAGAGACAATTGCAGACAAGATCTCAAGGCAGTGCAATATTCACCATCTCATAATCATAACCACCCTGTTGCTTAAACTGGAGCGCTGAAGATTTTAACCCTTGCAAGGGCGTGTATTTTGGAACGGGGATTAGTATCCAAATACAGATTTGTATTAGCGAAGACATAAATCAAAGAGGATAACATTTTGCACAGAGCTACCCAGACCCTTATAAAATAACCACTGGGGAGGAAATGCAGCACAATGATAAACAAAAGGAAAAAAAAAGCCCTCTAAAACAGGAACTGGTACACCTTACTTAAGCCTGAGAGACAGAAGTGACACCTATCCCCTTGAAGAGAATGAAAAAAGGAAACAAAGCTCATTAGGCAGAAGCTGGTAAGACGGATAAGGATTTGAGGTGGATTTACAGACTTTGTTACCTTCACATAATAGTATCTGAGAGCACGGCTGAGTTTATCATAGTTCATACTGGGCTTGTTCTTGCGGATTCCCCAGAGCCTGGCCACCTCCTCTGCCTGCAGCAGTTTGAACTCCCCGTCGTTGGAGGTCCAACAGATGATATTCTTGTTCTGAGGCTCTTGGAGGAGTTGGAGGAGGAACTGCCACAGGGTGATGGCACTGTCCATAGCAGTAAGCTGAAAATTCAGAAAGGCAGATAAGAGGCAACAGGTTAGGAACAGCGCATTTTCTTTGTCTCCCTAGAAGGGGGTAACGGAGCAGAGATGTTATTTCCAAAGCCAGCAAGAGTAAAAATTATTAGTCACCAGTCGTGAAAGATGTTCCCTGCAGAACAGAGAGGCTGAGCGCCAACTGCTGTCGTCTCCTCCCACATGTCAGTACTTTTCACATGGGTTATATTTAGCCTCATTTAACTAAATCAGGTCACTTTGGGTAAGTTGCAATGAGTCACCCTCCAAAAAAAATTTTTCTAAGTTGTTCCATGTTCACCCACCCTGACTTGTACAGCTTTATGACAAACAGCTCAGGTGCACCCAGGTAAAAATCAAACCACCCACTTGCCTCCTCCTTTCCTTACCTGCACCCACCTCCAACCTCGGCATCTTTAAGAAAACCCAGCAGATCAAGTGACTGCTTGAGCTCCGTGAAGATGCCAGTGCAGAACAACTCAATTTTCCTTCAGTTCGCATTTCTACCGCCTCTTTGTAAGCAGCCCTCTCCATCATCCCCCAGTCTCCTCTCTTTCGAATCTCCTTTCTTTTCTAGCTATCATCCCTGTCTTTTCTAAGAGAGTGAACACGAAAGTAAATAAAACGATTTCAAATGCCGCCTTTGCTTTTCTCTTGATTCCTGCCACGTCTTACCTACATCAGTCATTTAGGCTGAGACTTTCTAGGACTAATATCTGTCAGTGGATTCCTGCACTTCCAGCACGGTTTTCTTGCACTGGAGCTGTCGATGTATAAATTCACAAAGGACAGACAAGGCAGCAGAGATGCCATTTTTCCCTGACCACATCTGACTACACAAAACAGTACTTCCCCAGATATTTTCAGGCAGAACACTAATAATCCTGTCTGCACAAGGGAAGTATAAGATACACTATGAATTAAACCAGATAAAATTATATTAATTCAGCATCCCATATGGATTCTCTTATTCCAAAACAGAACAGCTTCCATTAACGCAGCTTAAACTTCTTCCAATGAAATAAAAACAAACCCAGCCGCTCCGGAGTAAGAACCATCGTGATGAATTACACTAAAAATGTTTTGATTCGTGTAACTACTAGATTTTTTTTTTTCCCTCCACATGCAGTCAAACCTCAATAAAGGCAAACCTAAAGAGGGCAGGGGTTTCCATCTGGGTGAATCTGCAGCCCGAGCGGCCACAGGCTGTTCACAAGCAGAAGCTCCAAAACAGAGGCATCAAGTCCAACTTCAGCAAGCGGGACCCATGCTCGTATTGTTTGAAGTCCATGTATACGCAGGGATAAGTTTAAGATTCAGTCGGGACTGCCAGTTCATCTTTGTTACCAAAGCCTTTTATTCCAATCTCATTACTGCCCAGCACTTAACCAGCCCTATATAAGGAAGAGAACGGTCTACATGTCAGAGCTTCAGAATTTAGTCAGCCCTGTAAAAGGATTACTGCTGACAGTTTACACAGGACTACACATTCTTATTTAAATAAGGTGCCCTAGGGCAGGTACTTTTTTTGGGCAGAGCCCATTGCATTTAACCTATTTTTAAGAATACCTGCTTAACGGCACGCTTACATGACTACACAGGGATGTTACATTGATCAAGTCAGTTAAATTGCTGCAATTACCAGGAACAATCTCAAAATGAAGGACACCCACACCACGTTGTTATGCTGGCCTAAGGTGCTTTCCTCCTTAATTACCGTACGCATGCAACTCCATGCTTGCCCAAATTAATTGCTCGGTACTCTAAGAAAATATCAGCTGCTGAGCGCCGCGCTTTGAGACTCTTCCCACACGGTCCCCGTGGCACGCCAGCTGAACCGTAGGGGAACGCGGGGCCAGGAACCACACGAAAACTCTTCCAGGGCCTCTCCTCCGGCTCACGTTCACGTTTGCCAACGACATCCCGTATCTGCCTGCTGGCAAGGCAGAGGACGTGCAGGCTGCAGAGCACCGCGAGCGGAGCCTCATTATCCCGTCAGGATGATGCACACGCACGGGGTGTTGTGGAGACAGAAGGACTTGATTCTGCCGTTCTGCAGAGCTGTCAATACTAGTGATATGTGCTAACACAGAAAGAGCAGGAAAACGAAGTTGAGTGATTATTCCCACGCGACGTTTATCTCCAGCACTTTCAAACCCCACAAGCGGCACTGCAGCAAACAGCGCCGACTGATGCAACGGGAGGCGATCGCGCAGAAATTAGACGAGCAGCAGAATTTCAGAGGGGCAAAGGCTTTTTTTCCTCCTCCTAAAAATCCATGCAGGTTTCAGCCCGGAATTTAAATGCTATTATTTCATTGGGCTGCTCCCCTTCAGTAGGAAGTACCTCACGTGATCTCAAAGCTCACCAATCTTTACCACCATCAAGCATTACTGCCCTGGTCACAACTGGTTTTGAATCGAGCTGGAGACACACAGTGCTGACAGACCAGCACTCGGACAGCACAACGTCCAGCAATGCAGAGTACACATGGAGCGACCCAAACGATGGAAGACACAAGATTTAAAAAATAAAAATAAAAAATCACCTTTCCCAGTGATGACCTGTGTTGTTCTGAGGAGCATTTACCAAAGTAAGAGAGAGCTGAGTTCATGCTACATAAATCCAAATGCTGCAGCTTTCCAGCTGGAAGGATCCTTCTCCCAGGGGCAGAGTTACAGACTGTACTGGAGCATTAGATTGGTCAAGTCACTACTAGTGTTTCTGGCATTTACAGGTTTTAGGGGTGTCACGATTCCAGCCATCGTGTGGAGGATGCACTGCATATCCTCAGCACCCTCTGAAAAGTCTTACGTTAGACACATCAACAACAGGGTGGAGAAGTTTTACTTATTCCTTGGCTGTCGTAGAACAAGAGCAGAGAGCACTTTTGAGTTATTAATGGATACGTTACATGGCATATGAGAGAATGAATGTCTCTCTTCATTAAATATCTATTGCACACACCTACAGGAAACAACGGAGAGATACCCTAGTGGAACTGGGAGTATCGAGTTTTTCTGAAGATTATATACAAGGGGAAGCCCAGAAAATAACTCTCCAAACTGGTCAAAGCAATGGGATCACAGGCGGATCTTGCCCCTCCAGAGTCCAGCAAGAAGCTGTAACTGGGAAAGTATAACACGTATACGGGAGACAACGTCATATTAGGAATCGAGACATCTCATTTAGCTTTTTTATTAAAGTTGCTTTCAAATGGCGTAAGAACACATCAAAGAACTGCCTCTTCTTCAGGAAAAAGCAGAATAAAAAAACCCATCACACGAGATGTAAAATTAAAACCAGCGCAGGCGAGATGAGCACTTCTCTTTGCTTAGGGAGAACAGACTAACACGTTAAAAAGCTTCTTCCTCCTTCTGCACCTGGGGCAGAAGGCAGCTGACGCCTTTCATGGGCCTTTCACCTTGCAACCACAGGGACCGAGCAGCAGCTCAAGCTCCTTGGGCTCTCTGCGTTTTGCACAACACCTTCAGCTGCCCTGGCATGGCGGGGAGCTGACAGAGAGGCTCCCGTCCCCACCAAAGCCATGTTCAGGGCCAAGTACCCAAAAGCGTCCCCCTCCCGCATTGCCAATTCAGAAGATCCTCGTGTCCTTTTTACCCAGACAGACAGCAAAACCCACACTCTTCAGAGGTGTTACAGGCCCATTAGTTCGAGAAATTAAAGAAATCGGGACGAGGACAGGAACCCACCGTCCCACTCCTACTTTACACTAACAATGGTGAGATGTTACTCCTCGTGATTTGCACACAGCATTTCAACTTCTTTCAGCACTACGTCTCCTTTCATGAAAAGGCATCAATCTCCTAGCACAGCTCCCCGTCAGCATAAAAAGCCTAGTAGTTTGATTGCTTTTTCTTCAAGATGAATTCACCAATAATTACAAGCACACCACTGCAAACCGCCTTTTTGGTGAAGGTTATTCTCCTTAGAAGAGTCCACGGAGAAAGAAAAAGGTCTCGTTTGGAAAGACAACGAGGGAATTAGGCAGAAAGGCAACACTGCTGCCTATGATGACGGCCTTTCCACTTCCGCACCGTTTGAGTACGAGGAAAAAATAGTTGCTAGAGGCAGAGGGCAGTTATACTTTGTAATGAGTATGCTAAAATAGAGCACTATTATTGTCTTGAGATCTTCTCCGACGCCTACGGATGACCCTTGAAGTATACCGAGTAGCTGACAGAATTTGGCTGCAGTACTCTACGCACCAGCGCTGCAAACTGGAGCTTTCTCATGTTGCTGCCGCTTCGTTTGAGGTTGCTGTAGCTTTGTTGGAGGCCTTGACTTTACAAAGCCTTGAGTTTACAAAAAAGCCAGGGCACGAGATACGTATCTTTTCCAGCGACTTCTCCTGCATCTGTGCCACAACGTGCTCCACGCAATCCACTTGATTACAGAGCCCCAAGGCTCTGCATCTTCTGTGGGAGTGAACTGCGCAATCCCTGGGTGGCACAGCAGCGGGAGGCACAGTTTAGGAAGTGGCATATGGTAATCTCTCCCGTGGCCAGCAGCTATGCTTACTACTGCAAAACAAACTCGCGTGTTCATCCCTTCGTGCTCAAAAAGGACAGGGACACCTCGCTACGCCCCAGCAAGGCAGGACCAGGGGGGTCTGCCCTAACCGCCCCCCCCATCTTCGAGGTCTTCTCGCAGGTTTCCTGTGCTGTGACTCAACACCAAGAACAGCTCAAGTAATCTTTCACCTCGGTTTGTTCCAACAGCCTCTTAGAAGTATCTGCAGCCTGATGACTTCTGCAGATGGGCTGAGTAAAGCAGTCAGGTCTACAGCGGCCAGAACCCGCACAGAAACAAAGGAAAGAAAGGATGTCACACCGATGTCAACACAGTGAGGACAAAATCACCACTACCATGTATTTATATGGCATGGTTACAGTATTCACACAGAAACGACATCTCAGAAGACGACTTCGGAAGCAGCAGAGAGGCAAACCCATAGGGTG